ACCCACAGGCCCATCCCTTTCAGGAATATCTTGAACTGTCAAGCGGGAACTAGTGGTCGGCATCTCATCAGTTAACCCTTTCAGGTCTGGATCCTGGAAACTAGTGGTTGCTGGGGCTACTTTAGCCTTTGGCTGAAATGAAAAAACAGAGGAACACGTCGCGCCTCCTTCACCCGGAAGTGAAGTGACGGTATAGGCAATAGATTTTCTAACACAACTTTTGTTTGTTTGACTGTCAGTACCTGGAAAGGAAACAGGGTTAGGCATTACATCTACTGATAACCTAGCCTGTTTAGTCACAGTAGCTATTATTGTTGCGGCACCTGTTGTTGTTGCTGCGGTTGCACAGGTAGTTCTGCAACTGGAGCTATCCCTAAAAAAGGATTTTTGGCAAAGACTTCGTTAATCTTTGTCATTCCCTCCATTAATTTGCCCATCTGGTCTGTCAATTGACCAACCTGACGACGCAAATTATTTCCCCCATTGCCGTTTTGTCTTTGCCCATTAGAATTTGGCTGGGATGGCTGAGACTGTTGGGAGTTATTGGAAGCAGATTGGTTGTTTCTGTTTCCATATCTCCTATTTCCCTGAGGATTCCTTCTCCATTGGGAATTGCCTTGGTTCTTATTAACCCAGGGCGTTTATTCCCATTGGCTTTGGATCTTTCAGAGTTATTAGAGGAATTTGCAGAATTGCTTCCGGCATTTTCCTGTTTCTGAGGTTTTGGAGTTTTCAAAACCTCGGAATAAGTCCTCTTTTTCTGTTGGGTTTCTAGACCTAACTGAATTTTAGTCTCTGACACCATTTTATCACCAGGTTTCTTAACCTTTGGCTGATTTTCGTCATGTGCATGGTGTATAGTATACAATTTCATGCACTGACTGACTAGCCATTCTAATGGTAACTTACAATCGTAATCTCTTGCGAGATTCATTTGTATGTTTACCGGCATGGCATGAAAATACAGATCTTTGAAGTCTGTGCTTTCATACCTGGGTTTTCTTTGGGCCACGGAGTATGCATTTTTAAGAATTATTAAAAATTCTCTGGGGCTTTGATCTGGACGGCACTTTAAGTTATAAAGCGCCTTCTTTGCAGAGGCAATGGTTTTATACTTACCATATTCCATGATTATTTCATATTTCATCTTGGACCAGGACATTAACTGTATAGCTTGAAGACTTTCTAGATAAACACGACACATTGAATCAAAGGTCCATGTAATGAACCATTTCTTATGAATGTCATCATACATGCCCAATGAATTCATTGCTCTATCATAATTTTCCAGATGTTCAGATATGTTTCCTGAACCTCTAGAAAATTGTGGGACAGTCTCTCTAAGGAATTTGATGACATTTGGTGTTTCATAAACAGGCGTTGTTGATTTACGATCTCTGTTTCTGTGTTTGGGTAAACGTCTATGCGATCTGTCTGCTGAAGAGGAATTAGACCCGTACAACAGTGCAGATGGCATATCAGTTACATGGCCTTCAGAGTGGATAGTGCAATCACTTTCACTCCCATCACTCTGAGCTTCTTGTTCACTGTCACAACTCTGATCTGCATCAGAATTCTGCCAGTGTACAGAACCATGTCTGTTTTCATTCCTATCACCTTGAATCTGATTCTTTCTGTCAAGCTTGGCCAGGACAGTCTTTTCAAACTGTTCTGCCCAAGATTGCCAAGAACCTACAGGTGTTTTCTCAGAATTACTCACCTCTTTTCTTACAGACTGTTTTATGAAAACCTGGTTTGGTGTGGGAAAATTATAATAAGGAGGGGATTTACAAATAGTCCTTTCTTGCATTTTTGTGCAACTTTTTGGCACAGAATGATGACTACCAACCTCACTGTCTAATTTCTGACTCTCCTTTTCATACTCATCCAATTGCATTTTAAGCTGATTTATTTCCTGTGCATATTTATCCATCAAAGCTTTCATTTCTTTTTCATGATCAGCCTGACGAGTTTTATGCTCAGCAAGTAAATCTTGGTATTTCCCATTTTGAATGCCCAGATCGTCACTGTACGTGTCCAATTTGGCATTCAATGACTTGTTTTCATCACACACCTTAAGAAGTGCTGTCATAAAGAAAGGCCAAGAGTGTATTATGTAATGCCATTTTCCTTTCTATGTTCTTTTGTTCAGCAATTTCTTTAAGATATATGATGATGTGTTCATCAGTTAGAATGGTTTGTTTAGCTTCCCATTCTATGCTTTTCAACCAAACCTCATAGGTTGCATCATTTTTCATATGTTTATGAATATGAACTAGAGCATGTTTTCTTAGGTCTTCAATTATTTCAGTATTATCTGTTACAGATTTATCACTGCCACTGGCCATTTTTATTTTTATTTTATTGATTAATCTCAATACAAAACTCTTTTCTATATTAAGATTAAATTGCATGAATTACACCAATATTATTATTATATATGAAATACAATTTCAACTTAAACGATCTCAGCACCGTGCCTCCAATATGTGGGGATATTTATGGGATAATAATAGTAAACAGTTGAGAATTGCCCACTATTTCAATTCTCAGATCCCTAAGAACGTTTATCGTGTTAAGTGGAATGTATTTCATATAATAATATCACAATGTATAAAAATAGATTTTTATTTATAATAACAAATTAATAATAATAATATGTAACATGCATGATAATAATCAATGAATATCCAGTATAAAATTATATGCAATACAAAGAAATGGGTATTACGTTACAATGGCTTAACGGCATTATCTGTCAAGAATTCTACGATTTATGATTAGCTTTCACAGACTGAAAGTTAAACTTTTCACAGAAGAACAGAATTCCTCAGAGTGCAGCGTAAGGTCGTAAAGTTTAGCAGACAGTTAGAATAACCCTTTCAATGCTGGCTAGATCTCCTAGGTAGTTAAGATCTACTCTTATGTATTTTTAAATAAAATAACATTTAAACCAGTTCATTTCATTTTCTGAAAACAATCCAATAAGAGAATTTACCACATTATATAAGCAGATTTTTAATTTGTCTAAAAGATATCTATCTTAATTTAGAGCAAATCAATACACCTGGATAAAAACAGCGGTATGCTAACACGTGATAATATCACATCAATATATAATTATTCTTAATTCCACCTGCAGAATGGAATGTTTATAACTATATATTCTTAGTTAACTAAGATTTCTTAATATGGAAATCTGACCGTGCTTTATCCAGTCATATATAATGCTATTAATACATTTTAATTAATTTAATTTAATTAAATGAAACCAGTATAATTACCAGTTGAGTAGATATTTCATCCGATTGGTAGTCTCTCTGCATGGAGGTGTTGGTTAGAAAGTCAGTAAATTCTAAGTGTTAGAGTTTTAGGAGTAGAGTGTTATTCTCAGATGTTGTCCGAGTTGGAATCCCCAAACTTCCAATTCCTCTCTCCTCTTTTTCTTTGCATATGTCGCATCTGCCTCCTCTCCTGTATTTCTTGTATATTTATCTTCCCTTTGTCTTAACTTTTAAAGGGCCAGACTCTCTGTACGTCATCAGTTGATAACCCAATAGAAGCACTAGAGGTGTGGTTATCTTCCAGATCGCAAATTAGTTATTTGGTCTGTAGAGGGCAGTCTTGTCCCACTAAACATACCTATCCAGGAAAGAGTTAACTTTTCCTGGTGGCTATTTTGACGTCATTTTGCGTTATCTTTATAGCGCCATAATTTAAAATTTCAAAGGGTTTCTTAAATTTTGTCCAGACTTAGCGTCTGCAATTCCTGCCATAATTTCTGATATGACAGATCATGAACTAAGTTTACCCTTTTCCATACAATGGTACCTTATATATATATAGACAGTTAAATATTATTATTTAATCTTCTCTGTCACAATTGTCTGGGTTTAGATTTGATTATATTCTTTTAGCATTAGACAGTCTGTCCAACCCCCTTCCTTATCACTTGTTTATACTATGCATACCTTAGCTCTGGCAAAGAGGCCAGTCTTATAGAAAGAAATCTAGTGTCTTCTTTGTTAACTTGAAATAACAAAATGGAGTCTGGTCTGTTCAGAGTGACTCAGAATATACACTTTTAGTTTCTATCATAGCACAAGATGTCTGCCGATATAAATACTCTGACAACCCGTTTGTTTCCACTAACCCTTTTGTTTCAGCTTGGACCTGCAGCAGTATTTAATCTCTCTGCCCTTTCTTGCAGGTAAGTGCTATTGTGGTATAGTGTGGTTGTTTTAGTTTGCATTAGGCAGTGTAGGACCTGCCAGATATGGGGTACATTGGCGTTGTTGGCAGGCTTATGCAATGTATGATCATATAATGTAACTAAATCCCCATGCTTTTCATAATTAGTGCTTAGCTATGTTTCCTCTTGTTTTACCTTGTATCTCTTGTCTTGGTTTGTATACCCAGCCCATGTACAGTCCTGTCCAGTCATGCCCATGTTATGTTCATGTTTGCCTCATGTCTTGTGTATATGTTCTGGGTTTAGCTTCCTATCCTTCTCTGGTTCTGGGTTCTATTAGTTCTGTCTTGTTTTCATGTTTGGTGCCAAATTTAGTCTTGCCTTGTTTCTAGTACTGGATACAATCCTGCTGCAGAGCCTCCCTATTAAGCTCCTGGGAGGTCTGCTTAATTTCCAAGCTCCTAGTTCCTGTTATCTGCATAGGCTGAATCAGGGTCTTGGTATGTGGCTGCACAAACGCTGGTGCTCAACACCAGGGGGCGTGCGGTTACCCTGCACCAGACCCTGCTAATCCACCTCCACGCTGAAGACTCCCACTTATCATCAGGCATATTGGGTCCCGGTCCACGCGCCGCCGCCTGGACACTGTGTCTGGGTTCCGGGCACCGGACTGCCACCCGTGACATATGGCCGTAGGCACAATGGAGTTCGTGGAGTGGACTTTGCAGCTTTCCTGATCTGTTCTGTCTGAGAAAACTGCAGCATCAAGAGTTCCTGTCTCTGGACCAGTCTGCTGGAGATGTCTTCCTCAATCTTTCAGTTTGTCTGATTTCGTTTTGGAGGAGGTCGATCTGCTAAGCTGTACGGTGGTCGTTTCAGGTGTTTCCTTGTGATGCTGGTTTCCTGATTCCGTTTCCGATTCTGTGTAAGTGCTCCTGTTCTGGTGGTTCCTATGCAGGAGGCCTTTCCGGTGGGGGATCCTTGCCTCCGTGGAAGTCAAGAGGACTTCGTTGCAGGATCCGCTCGCCATTCCCGGTCTCTGCCTGGAGCTGTTGGGAGCATCCGGAGTTCGCTCATTAGGTTCCTATGCAGGAGGCATTTCCGGTGGGGGATCCTTGCCTCCGTGGAAGTCAAGAGGACTTCGTTGCAGGATCCGCTCGCCATTTCCGGTCTCTGCCTGGGTGTTGTTTGGAGCGTCCGGAGTTCGCTCCTTAGGAGGGGAGTTATGTCACGTTCTGTTCCTCGCTGCGGATCATTCTGCATTGGTTCTGGTATCCAGTACTCTTTTTGTTTTCCTTGCTTGGTTTTTCTGGTTTTCTGGTCTATGTCTGGTTTTCTTTGTTGCTGGGATTTCTGGGTTCATTTCTGTAATCCATGCCTGGGATTCCCAGTCTCCAGGTTTCCTTTAAATGTTTGTTTTATGTGCCACACCCGTTTGTTTCCACTTACCCTTTTGTTTCAGCTTGGACCTGCAGCAGTATTTAATCTCTCTGCCCTTTCTTGCAGGTAAGTGCTATTGTGGTATAGTGTGGTTGTTTTAGTTTGCATTAGGCAGTGTAGGACCTGCCAGATATGGGGTACATTGGCGTTGTTGGCAGGCTTATGCAATATATGATCATATAATGTAACTAAATCCCCATGCTTTTCATAATTAGTGCTTAGCTATGTTTCCTCTTGTTTTACCTTGTATCTCTTGTCTTGGTTTGTATACCCAGCCCATGTACAGTCCTGTCCAGTCATGCCCATGTTATGTTCATGTTTACCTCATGTCTTGTGTATATGTTCTGGGTTTAGCTTCCTATCCTTCTCTGGTTCTGGGTTCTATTAGTTCTGTCTTGTTTTCATGTTTGGTGCCAAATTTAGTCTTGCCTTGTTTCTAGTACTGGATACAATCCTGCTGCAGAGCCTCCCTATTAAGCTCCTGGGAGGTCTGCTTAATTTCCAAGTTCCTAGTTCCTGTTATCTGCATAGGATGAATCAGGGTCTTGGTATGTGGCTGCACAAATGCTGGTGCTCAACACCAGGGGGCGTGCGGTTACCCTGCACCAGACCCTGCTAATCCACCTCCACGCTGAAGACTCCCACTTATCATCAGGCATATTGGGTCCCGGTCCACGCGCCGCCGCCTGGACACTGTGTCTGGGTTCCGGGCACCGGACTGCCACCCGTGACAATGTTACATTTTTAATAGAGAGCATAAGATGGATTTTAAACAATAATTATTTTATTTTTAATTCTAGATTTTATTTACAGCGTCAGGGTACAGCGATGGGGACCAGGTTCGCCCCCAGCTATGCAAATTTATTTATGCTTGGCTGGGAAAATGATGTTATTTTTAATAACACGGCATGGGGAGCGGACCTGGTCACATACCACAGGTATATAGCTGACCTGTTTTTTATATGGAAAGGAACCTTAAATGACTTGGAATTTTTTTTAACTAGTATGAATAATAATAACTGGGGCATTGAACTAAATAGTCAATTCAGTACTAAAAGTATTAATTTTTTAGATTTGGAGATTTATACAGAGGGGGATACTTTAAAAACAAAAAAAATTTTTTAAAAAGTTGATGCTAATAGTTATGTTTTATATAATAGCGGACACTATACGCCTTGGTTGAATAATATACCAAAGGGACAACTACATAGGATTCGGAGGAATTGTACTGAGAATGATATTTTTAAAGAACAAGCTAAGACGATTTTAGATAAATTTGCACAAAAGAAATATCCCGAAGCATTACTTGAAAAAGCATTCGATGAAATCAACAAGAACTAATTTCCAAATCTAATACTACTAAAAAATTTGCTAATCCTGATTTAATAACCTTAGTCTTAGATTTTAATAATGATAATAAAAAAATTAAAACCATCATAAATAGACATTGGCACCTTCTTAAAAAAGATAAAGAGCTATTAAAAGTGATTCCTGAGAAACCTTTTATCACTTTTAGAGGGGCACCAAGTTTTAAACAAATGTTAACTTTTAATCACCCTAAAGCGGTTTTTATTCATGTGGTAAATGTGTTGGGTGCAAATGTAGTAAGAATAGAACTATTAAAGGTATTAGTAAATTTAAAACGAAGTATAAAGAAGAAGATTTTCAAATTAAGGATTTTATAACTTGTTTTAGTAAAAATCTTATTTATCTTTTAATCTGTCCGTGCGGACTGCAATATGTTGGCCGGACTATTCGTCCTCTACATAAAAGAGTATATGAGCATATTAATAATATTAAAAAGGGTTTTGAGCAGCATAGTGTTTCGGCTCATTTTAAAAGATATCACAAATCAGATCCAAGTGGTTTAACTTTTTTAGGTATCCAGATAGTGAAAAAAATCTTGGAGAGGAGGTAATTTTATTCTAGACATTGGGAAGGAAGAAATTAAATGGGTACATAAATTAGGTTCCCTAGAGCCCAATGGACTTAATATTGAATTTGATTTATATAATTTTTTATGATTATTTTCTCCTTTTTCCAGTCACTTTATGCATTTTTTTTTTTCTCATCTTTGCTCTCAATTTTTTTTATATTAATATATATTTTTTTATGTATACTGGGATTATTTAGATTTACCTAGCATTGGTCTATTTTTATTTTTATAAAGTAACCTTCATATTTCCCTTTTCTTCCATATAATAGGATGTGTATCTATATATGTGTATTATACCCAATTAATTATAATGGTATTACTAGTAGGATTAGTAGGATATTTGTGATGTTTGAGATCATGGACATTTTTCACAAAGAGACATTTAGGCAATATGCCTTGGAGCCCATGGAACTTGATTGCAATTGGGACTATTCAAGCAGATACCACGCCCACATAGACGGGTATATGTTCTGAGAGACGGCAACCACCCGAACGTGATTTGAGGAAGCCGTCAAGGCGAAACGCGTCATCACGTTCTTCAGACGTACAACGTCATTACGTGTCAGCAGCACCTCCTACTCCCGGAAGCATCTATCCACTGAAAGACCGCAAGTGCATGCCGCGAGTCAGAAGGGGATCTGTACCAGCTTGGCTTCCCAGGGAGAAGGGTGATGATTCACTGTGAAATTTTATACTAATAAAGTCTTATTTTTATTTGGTGCCGTCCTGCTTGTTTCAAGCACATCTATCTACTATCCTACAGAATCCTGATGAGAGGATTTGAAAGCCTTTATAGTTGGAGCAGACTTTATTCTGCTCTACCATTGTGAGTGATATTCTTCTATCATTTTCTGATAACATTTGTGATACAGAGTTACACTATATTGTGTTCTTTTGTTCCTCTACTCTTTATTTTTATGTGGAGCGTTTTAAAGAGATACTCCTTCAAGTGTCAGCAGAGTCTAAATTTAAAGGAGTAAGTGCTTTGTTGTTTGAATTTCACATAGAGCACATATTCACAGGGTATTTACCACTGGATTAACTTTATTTGCACTTTAATAATATATATATTATATTCGCACTTTATTCACTACAGTTGGATCATTATTTGTTTACATATTGTTCATATTGTTACATTAGCACTTAAAGGCACAGCGCACTTTTGTTCTTTTGTTGTATTCTATTTGAGTGGTTTTAGAGCTATTTCACTTTTATTAGTGCTTGCTAGCCTTTATAAGTGACACTATTTTTTATTTATTTTTTAGCGCCATTTTGTACTTGATTGTTTTATACTTTCTGTACATACATACTGATATATATACATACATACATACATACATACATACAGACATACACACACACACAGATAGATATATACATACACAGATACACACAGACATACTGTCATACACACACACAGACATACATGCATACTGACAGATATATAGATACATACACACACACATACATACTGACATACATATATACAGACATATATACATACTGACATACACACACACACACATACAGATACACATACAGATACACATACACACATACATACAGACATACTGACATACACACACACAGACATACATGCATACTGACATACATACATACATACTTGCAGACACACACACACATTTAACTCTGCAAAAGTTAATTACTTCAATACCCTCATAACCACACTCTCCCGCGAACCCAAGCGATTATTTCACACATTTAACTCTCTTCTTCGCCCTGCTGTTCCTCCTCCACCTATTAACTTGACCGCGTCAGACTTTGCAACTCACTTCACTGACAAGATCTCTACAATCAGAGAAGACATCTCTCATCTTTATTCTTCCCCTTACAATACTTCCCCTAACTTCACTCCCTCTGCTGTTCTATGTTCATTCACACCCGCTACATTGGAAGAGGTGTCTGCTTTGCTCCAGTCCTCCTGTCCCACCACCTGCTCCCTAGATCCAATTCCCTCGCATCTCATCCGTACTCTGTCTTCTTCTCTTTCTCCACTTCTCACTAAAATTCACAATCTCTCTCTGTCCTCTGGTATATTTCCATTGCCCTTCAAACATGCAACTGTAACCCCAATTCTAAAGAAGCCCAATCTTGACCCTAACTCCCCATCCAACTATCGTCCTATCTCGCTACTGCCTTTTGCATCCAAGATCCTTGAAAAAATTGTGTATGCGAGACTGACAGACTTCCTCGAGTCCAACTCTCTGCTAGACCCGCTTCAGTCTGGTTTCTGCGCTAAGCACTCTGTGGAAACGGCATTGACCAAAGTATCCAATGATATACTCGCTGCAAAATCTCGTGGTCACTACTCTATCCTAATTCTCCTTGACCTGTCTGCGGCTTTTGACACTATTGATCATCAACAGCTTCTTCTCATCTTCCGCAATATCTGTCTACAAGATATTGCTCTCTCCTGGTGCTCTTCCTACCTCTCCTAGCGCTCTTTCAGTGTTTCTTTCTCTGGCTCTGCTTCTTCTCCCCAACTCCTCTCTGTTGGTGTCCCCCAAGGTTCAGTCCTTGGTCCCCCACTGTTCTCCATCTATACTGCCTCCCTTGGTAAACTCATTAGCTCTTTTGGCTTCCAATATCATTTCTATGCAGCAGTGGCGTACACATGACCCATGGGGCCCCGGCACAAAAATTGATCCATGGGTCGGGGCCGCAACACATGGTGGCGGGCACCTGGTCGCAGGGCTACAACCCCGCGACCGCGGTATGCTGCACACACACCTAAAGGACCACTACAGACACCTAGATCACATCAGCTCAATGAAGTGGTCTGCGTGCCAGGTCCCTCTAGTTTTAACCCTGCAGCTGAAAACATAGCTGTTTCAGAGAAACGGCTATGTTTCACTGAGGGTTAATCCAGCCTCTGGTGGCTGTCTCATTGACAGCCGCTAGAGGAGATTCCGTGATTATCACTGTGAAAATCACAGTGAGAAGACACTGAACGTCCATAGGAAAACATTGAGTAATGCTTTCCTATGGGTGGTTTAAATGCGCGCGCGCGCCTCTTGCCGCGCATGTGCATTCGGAGCTGAGAGGCGGAGGGATCCCCAGCGCCAAGGAAGTCCAGCGCTGGAGAAAGGTAAATGCTGAAGACAAACACTCTCACGAACAGACGCATACACACTAGCTAACAGACACACACATTTACTGACAGAGACACACTCAGCGACAGACATACATACACACTCACAAAACATACACTTTCACTGACAAACACACACTCACTAACAGACATCAGACACACTCCGTAACAGACACACCCAATAACAGACACACTAACACCCACACTAACACTTACACACACACACACACACTAACACACACTAACACTTACACACACACACTAACACATGTATTTTTTTTTAAATTGAATCCCCCCAGCCTCCTTATCTTTTGGGGTGCTGGGGGGATTCCCTGGGGTCCAGTGGTGGTGCTGCTGGGCTCGCGGGCGGGCTGGCTGTCTGGGTGGCCGGCGCGCGAGGGAGCACTCTCCCCTGTGTGCTCCCTCTTCAGCTCCCTCGCGCGCCGCGTGGGGATGCCGGAGCCGGAAGATGATGGGAGCGGAACAGGGAGCACACAGGGGAGAGTGCTCCCTCGCGCGCCGGCCACCCAGGCAGTCAGCAGGGCCAGCCTCGGGGGCCCCCCAGGAGAAGAGGCTGGCCCTGTGGGTACATACCCGGTTGCAGGGGTGGCCGGGCCCCCTGGTGGGCCGGGCCCGGTCGCAGCCGCGACCCCTGCGACCCTGGTATGTACGCCACTGCTATGCAGCTCTGCTGAAGACTTACGTCTATCTTCTGTCCGTACTCCCACCTCTGATGCTCGCCTTCAAGATTTCTCGAGGGCTGCACCGTTCCTGTGGAACTCGCTTCCCTCCTCCATTAGATGCTCACCCATTCTCCACTCCTTCAAAAAATTGTTAAAAACCCACTTCTTCATAAAAGTGTATCAATTAAACTGTTAATAGCTCCTGACTGATTCCTCTTCTGCAACTGTCACTAGTCTAATACTACCCTTACCTTTTTGTGTCATTTTACCCCACTCCCTCTAGCATGTAAGCTCATTGAGCAGGGCTCTCAACCCCTCTGTTCCTGTGTGTCCAACTTGTCTGGTTACAACTACATGTCTGTTCGTCCACCCATTGTAAAGCACTGCGGAATTTGACGGCGCTCTATAAATATAATAATAATAATAATAATATTACATACATACATACTTGCAGACACACACACAGACATACATAGTGACAAACAGACATACATACAGACATACACACACATACAGATAGACACATACATACATACTGACATACACACACAGACATACATGCATACTGACAAACATACATACAGACAGACAAACACAGACATACACACATACACACACACGCACACATACACACATACACAGACATACACACACACAGACATACATACTGACATACTCACACACACAGACATACATACTGACATACACACACATACATACTGACATACACACACACACACAGAGACATATATACTGACATACACACACATACATACTGACATACACACACACACAGACATACTGACATACACACAGACATACATACTGACATACATACTGACATACACACACACACACAGAGACATACACACACACAGACATACACACAGACATACTGACCTACACACATACTGACATAAAACCAGACATACATACTGACATACACACAGACATACACACAGACATACACACAGACATACACACAGACATACACACACAAACATACTGACATACACACACACATACATACAGACATACACACACACACATACAGACATACACACACACACACACACTGACATACACACACACTGACATACACACACACACACACACCCCAACATACACACACACATACTGCAGCCACACACACACACACACACAGACATACATACTGACATACACACAGCCCACATACATACTGGCATACACACAGACATACTGACATACACAGACATACATACATACTGACATACACACACACAGACATACATACTGACATACACAGACATACATACTGACATACACGTACATACTGACATACACACACACAGACATACTGACATACACACAGACATACATACGGACATACACAGACATACATACTGATATACACACACATACATACTGACATACACACACACACACACACACAGACATACTGACACAGACATACTGACACACACACAGACATACTGACACACACACAGACATACAGACATACACACAGACATACATACTGACATACACACACACAGACATACATACTGACATACACACATACCTGCAGACAAACACCCTAAATGCTTGGGCCACCTGATGGGCCCGGTGCAGATGCACCTGCGGCAGTTTCGCCGCTCCACGTGGGGCCCGGGCGGCCGGGCCCCCCAGGCCCGTGACAACCATTATGGTTGTCACCCCCTGATGGCGGCCCTGGCTGAGGGGATTCCCTGGGGTCCAGTGGTGCTGCCTGGCGGGCGGGTGGGCGCGCGAGGGAGCACTCTCCCCTGAGCGCTCTCTGCCCAGCTCCCTCGCGCGCCGCTTACAGATGCCGGAACCGGAATGAGCTGGGCAGAGAGCGCTCAGTGGAGAGTGATTCCTTGCGCGCCCACCCGCCGGCAAAGTGAAGCCAGCTGGCAAAATGGGGCCACACTAGCGTGCATACTGGGTCGCAGGGCGGCCGGGCCCCCTGGAGGACCCCTGCGACTGCAGTATGTACACCAGTGTGTGTGTGTGTGTGTGTGTGTGTGTGTGCATGTGTATATATATATAGCACACACAAACGTATTATACATATATATATATAAATATATATATATAATATAAATTGAAAAACATTTATAATAAACAAATAAAAATGCTAACTTTGGCCAGCGTTTGTGACTAAGTGGCTACTGCAAAAGACTGTAAATACCCCATTTGGAATACCCTGGGTTATCTACATTTTAAAATGATATACCATGATGGGGTTATTTCACATTCCTGGGCTGCTATATGGTCTCAAAAGGCAACACAGACCCAGCAAACCAATCTGGCAAACTGAATTGGGCAAGGCCTATATTGAGCCTGTAACACCATAAAACCTGTACAAGGGGGGTATTGTTATACTCGGGAGACTTCGCTGAACACAAATATGGGTGTTTAACCCCTTAAAACCGGAGGACGTACAATTACGCCCTCTAATAGGCGGCTCTAAACGCCGCCGGGCGTAATTGTACGCCCTCCGGTTTTTGTTAACTTACCCGGTCGCCGGCGGCACGTCCGTCCTCGTCGAAGCCCCCCGGCCATGTGAGAGTGGGGGCCCAATCACATGGCCGGGGATAGCTGGCTTCTGTATTGCCGGCAGGGGGGCTGCCTGTAATGACAGGTGGTCCCCCTGCTGGCTGAAAATAAAATAAAAATAAGTTAATGGTGTAAAAAAAAATAATTATATATACTTAGATCATATATATATATGTATATATTATATATATATGATCTAAATATATATATACACATATACATACACACACATACACCGTCTAGGTGTATTTTACTATTAATATATATATAATTATATATATATATTAATATCAAATTACACGTAGACTGATACTGATTAAATATATATATATATAATTATTGTTATATATATATTTATATTTAATATAAAAAAAATAAAAATGTAAATACGTTAAAAAATAAAATTAAAAAAATAATTAAAAATAAATAATTAAAAAATATATAGATGTGTGTTATTTCGCTCTAACTGTTTTGTGAAATTAATATATATATATATATATATATATATATATATATATATATCAAAATACACGTAGAACGAAATAATATATATATCTATCTACATAAATATATACGTATATATCACTATATATATATATATATATAAATAAAAAT